ATAGGCATAGAGTAACTGTAATTTGGCTCCACTCCTGCTGTGAAACGTATGTTGTTTCAGCACTGGGTATGGAAAAACATGTACAGTATGTTTCAATTGTCCTATTCCTATTCATCTTCAGGAAGACAAATAGAGCAATCTATTTAACAATAATAGGTACTTCCAGCACATAAGTTCTTTTCAGAACTATTCATGTGGTGTACTGCAAGGTTTTTTACTATTGTTTATTCGCCAGGCAAAACTTTAAACAATCTTCCTAAACATTATAGGAGTGATGTTTTTGCCCTACCTGACGTGTTATCGTACTGAATACTCAGTACATTCCCAAATACATTCCCCAAAAAATTCATTCTGGAGGTCAATTCAATCACTAAGGGCAAAATATCACTCATGATATTTTCTTGATGCAAACTCCCATCGAAATTCCTATTACATACTATATAACATTATTTTGGTACATTTAATAGATTCAGTATACTTAAGAAACTTAACTTCAATTAAGATATCATAAGCCATGTTTACAAGGCTGTTTGCTATCAGATACTGAGACTTAACTTTGATTAAGATATCATAAGCCATGTTTACAAGGCTGTTTGGTATCCGATACAGTAAGTATAACACCGGTTATCTCCAGTTGACGCCGATTAATAAATCGGTTGTACCAGGTCACGTGATTAGAACTGACTTGAAGAAAGAAATTTAAAACCCTTTCTTGTCAACAAAGTTAAAAAATTTATGTAATTGATAAAAACAAAATGTTTAATTAAACTGCTGTAATTTAAAAACATTTCTGCAAATAATAATAACAGTATTTCGTGCTATATATCAACAGAGATTTCAGTGATGATCTACGCAGGTCAAACAACAGCTGTTCTTCATCAAAAACATGCGAATGATCTGAATTAACTCTACTGGTCTGTTATTCTGAGTCACTAACACCGTTTACAATGGCCATTTAACACCAATATCATCAGGTAAACGCTTTCATAATGATGATCTTCTGCCATGTAAACGTGGCTTCAGATTCCAATCAATAATAATATTGAACAATCTGTAAAAGCATACTCATCAATCAAATTCTTGGTTTATATGTAACTAGAGTAGGATGGATTAAGATATTAGGTCTTTTATTTGTGCTATTGATTGATTCTTAATCAATACTCGTCATCACTCACTTCATCTTAATCATCATTTATTTTACAAATTGGAGCCGATCTTAATTATTACTGTCTTGGGCTCAATGATATTAAGATGCTATGTTCAAAAGCACTTAATTTGCATCATGTTGTCAAAACCTACAATCTATTTGTTTGTACTGAAAGCTTGTCATACAATTCAATCAAATTTTGTAAATTTAAATAAATCATAGAGTCACAACCGAGATTAAACTCTTAAGTGCCTGAGCTAGAAATATAAATCAAGAATTGAAAAGCAGTCTCTGTTCATCCAATTCATAAAAGCACTGGTACAGTATATGGAACACACAGGTATTATATTTACTGTACTCGCTCTATATGGGCGTATGCAGGCAGGCATCCCCCCACCCCCAAGACGGTAAATTATTTCCAACACTAAAAATGACCATGTTTTTATTAGAATAAGGATTTAGTTTAACATACTCAATTTCAATACCTGCCCTCCCCCCCCACCCCCTATACACATCTAGAAAAAAAACGTTTCACAACCCTACCCCTGCTCTATGCTGTATTTTAATATTGGTGTTTTAATAAATCTTCAAGGTAGTTAACCACACACATCCCTCCCCATGACAGTAATCAGGAAGTATGTTAAAATACTAACAATGATCATTAAGCTTTCATTGGAATAAGGATTTAGTTTCGCATTCTCAATTTTGCCACTCCCCACACTGTTTCACAACCCCCGACCAAAACTACACCCTGCTCTATGCTATATTTTAATATTCAGTGTTTCAATAAATTTTTAGGCAAGAACGATTCCTTAGGTGGGAGTTTCCTGTAATCAACAGGGAGTAAAGGGGAACCTATGCATTCTGGGAAAAATCTCTTGTTGGGGTGGGGGTCAGAAAAGAATCACCCTCCCACTTCCTGAAGCATTCTAGTATGCGGTGACTTTTACTACCCAACATATGCCATCAAGTTTTCATTGCATTATAGACCTAAGACTACTGTACTGTAAATTACAGACAACGTTGACCTTTTAGTAGTTTCGACAACAAATAGCGGTTTATGAATAAGTAGGCAGAACAATAGCTGCAGACATATTGCAATAGGCTTAAGCAGAATTATTAAAATATTCCAAATGACAGTAATAATAGTACAATGTCAGTTCAAGGATTTGGCTTGGATCGTATAAAAAGCAGTGGTCAGTGTGATATAACAAAATGTAGGGGAATCTATGTAATGGTATAATGATAATGGTTTTTGTTTTTGTTTTTGTTTTTTTTTTTTATTCATTAAGTGATCCATTCCTACTTGCACTGAAATGGAGCTATGGCAGCAACAGGATTTTTCCAAATGGCAGGGATAGAAGATGGTAGAGTACTGTCTGATAGGGGTCCAACAATTTACAATAGACACCATTGGGGTCTAGTGAAAAACCCTGGCAGTGGCCCACGAGTGGTTTCCCATTATATGCACTATCTTCCAAATTATCTGTATATCCTTTCTTCCAGAAAGCCTATATACACCTTTATGATTATCTATACTCCTACGAGTACACGTAATTCATTGACTCCAAAATAAGCACTATATACATTGGCTAAAGCCACACCAAAGGTTGGTGCGAGTAAAAGGAATTATACAGCATTAAAAGTTACTGTATGTTCTCCAAAATTATTCAAACTGTAGAATATACAAAAGCATTCAAAACTGAAGGTCAATTGCAAATAATCATAGTAAGCCTTGATCTTTACTAGACTTTCCACTTAAGAACTATCATAATATAATATCAAATAAGCTAAGAAACCTTGGAAGATTAATTTATTGCTAAGCAATGCCATATAGTGAAGCTTCTCAAATATTGTTCTTTTTTCATAAAAAATTTTAAAACAGAATTTAGTCAATACAGCATTCAATTGCAAATTTTTACTATAAAAATCCTTCAATTGATAATCAGCCATTTTTTTTTAAATGGTATATTGTTGTATGCAAAGAATATGGCAACCATTATTATATTATGTTTGGTGAGAAAAATATTTGTTTTAAAGCTGTGCCAGATTATCAAATTTTCTTTGAAAAAAAAAAGTTGTATGCCCATATATAGTCATGATGTGCCTGTATATGGTCATGATGTCATGTCAGTATGTCTGTATTTAGGCATGTCACATGATTTTGTCAAGTATAATTTGAATGTCTGGATATAGGGCTTAATTTTCTATTGAAAGCTCCTGTAGTAGTAATAATACCTCTTCCTCAGCTGAAAACAGAAGGAATATTGTACATTGTCTTGGCCAGTAGATAAGATAGTGCCTATTCTTTTAAAGACTAATTAATATCATATTCAGGATTTGACTGAGTTAAATATAGGATGTATTATGTACCCTAACAGACCAACTAGGTATTACAAATCTTGAAAAGAAAAACACTAATAAATAAATGAGGTTATCAGATTTTTAAATGGGTTTGCAAAGGAAGTTTGTACCTACATGTTATCATTATTCCTTCCCTTCATTGTCTCAGGCCACAGATTTAAGGTCAATAACTACAAGATGTAACTTTTGAGTGTATACAAATTTGTGTTGACATAATTATAATTCTATGTGGGAATTTATAATTTTGAATTTTTATGGAAACATAAAATCTCAAGGTTATGAGCTCAAATCTTTGTAACATCAGGATATCTTCTCACAAGTTAAAACACAGTACCGGTAGGCCTACCTCTCACTGAAACTTAGTCTGAATAATTTAAAGTGTTTCATGTTACACTGGAGCTGACTTTGATTCATAAATTTACCGGTCCTGTATTAAACTAAATGATGGACACTTTTGGACTGGGGCAGCACTTGCATTTCCATTATAGCAGAGACTGTTCAAAACAATTCTTCAGCATTTCAGACACATAGGTATATGAATTTAGTAAATATATATTCTATTTAGTGTTTATAGTTATCTCAATTATCATTTTTTCTTTTTAAAAATCTTGAAAATAAAATTTATATAAGTCAACTTGTACAAAAAATGAATAGTAATGTTAATGTATCATAAAATTTAATACAAACCTTTCTACAACTTGTCCATTCATTTATTTTCCAATGGTAAACGGTTATTACATGATTATTAACACATTCTGGTAAGCCTCTACACTGGACAATTTCAGACAACGGCCCACATTTTTTTCCACCATTTGTAGGCTCCTGAACCAAAGTCCTTGTGCGATACCTTGTTGCAGATTTACACGTAGTACTACAGTCTGACCACGGTATCCATGTGGTCATTACGCAATCTTGAGAACACGTTTTACAAATGCTGCTGTCCACTGGCTTTTGGAGACTGCTGCAAAATTCAGGCGATACAAGAGACGCCAAATTCTCACGCTTGGAAAAACTAATGCATGCAACGTTACGTGTTTTACCGCACTTATCGTGTGTTTGAAATGAGCATTTCTCCCAATTATCATATGCCCATGTAATTCCATGTTTTTTATTTGTAGTATTAAATTCAACTACTACCATATCTTCCCTATCAGTTCTTATCAGCCGTGTGTCCGCATTGATAAGTGGTAACACAAATATAAATATATATAAAAAATTCATGGTGATAAAGTTTGCTATGCCAAGACTCTTGTAAAAATAACAATGTGAAAGCATAGAACTGTTGCAGTGGACAGATGAGATTGGCACAAATCAATCTGCAAAAAGAAAAGAGAACATTAAAGCAAAATTTATAACAGTATTAAACATTAAATTAATATATAAAATGAAGGGAAAAATATCTGTCAATGACAATGCATTCTAAAGAAAGTTTGGCCCATTATTATTTCAGTGTTTTAAACTTTAGGACAATGGACTCTTACGGTAAGTACAGGCCTCTCTGATGTGAGGATCATCGTATTTGTAGAGGCATGGACTAGCTCGTATAGTAACTTTCTTCTCCCGTAAGGGTCCCTTCATGTCTGAGCTACCCGGTAAACGGTACCAGCTACTTTCGTCTGTCCACAACAGGGGCTGTATGGAACCGTACACCGGGCATCGGGGTAGCCCCTTACTCTTCTCGAAAGATGTACTGGGTCCTTTATAGTGCACAATAGCCATTTGTACATACACGGGACCTACGGTTTATAGTCCTTATCCAAGAAAACTTGTTCCACCTCCAGAACCATAGGTGAGTGTGCCATTCGAACCAGCAACGATATTTTATGGCTATGTTGTGGCGCCCCTGCCTTAACTGTGGCCATTCTTAAATGAATTCTTAATTTTCATTGGTGAAACACAGTTGTAACTTCGGTACTCTTTAATATGGTTGTACATTGAGGGTCCGAAATTCACGGACAGGAATTCCCGACCTGATTTTTGCACAGGGAATGCCAAAGTTTTATTTTAGGCCAAGTTAAAAAAAAAGTAGTGTCTCGTCTTAATATTTAAAAAAAAAAAGGAGAATGAGGACCCTTCCTTTTTTTTTTTTACTCTGAGATGGCAAAACCAAGATAGTCGATGGGAAACAGTTAATACTTTCTCACTTTTACTAAGTAAACACATTGAAAGCGAATAAAAGAAGTACTAGACGTGATTAATACCTACCACATGTATCCTCAACCGCGAACGATCAAGAGAGGAATTTAACTGATGTGACTTAGCCAGATTTTTGTACAATTTGTAAAATATGGGAAATTTTAAAAAAATAAATAAATTGGTGAGGCAGAGAAAATGGATGCGCAAGGGGACGAAAAACTAGCAAATTTCTTTCTTGGCCTTACATTAAGCAGGGCACTCATTGCTGCCTACTATGGTCGTATGACAGTCAGCTGACGAATCTATTCCCTGTGAGAGTTAGATGATGCGACACTGTCTGCTGATTGTCGGTGGCATTCTGCACGATTCGTCATCAAAATTGATCTGTTGCACACACGTCGTGGTGTTGCATTCTCCATAGGATTGCATCAGCAGGCAACCACCAGACAAAGTGAGTGCCCGGCTTTCACTCTGGCCTACCACGGAATGAAATCATAATTAATAATGATATGTAGGCCAACAGGTCTACTCATATTCCCCTAGTTGCTTGCAAGAAAAATCTGGCTAGCTATAAATCCTAAGCCAAAGGTGAAGATAAAAATGCATACAATTATAATAACCATACCTCCCGTATAGGCATCTTGTTCCCTTTTAGTTTTAGCCTACCAGACACTTTTAAGAAAAAATAAAATTCTGAATGTTTATACCTTCAACATTGACAGCGAGGTGGATGATACGGCCACTGTCGGTGTCAATTAATTAGCGAGGCTCCTCTGCTGCTAGCCCGCAACTTCCTACCCTAGGCTATACTCTATTGAATAAGTCCGCACGGCCACGATTCGTTCCCTCACCAAAGAACTTACTGCAACTTCCAGAACTAATTTTTTTTACAGAACAAATGCAACAACTGCATTATATGGTAATCCTCAAAGGATTTCGCACAATCAATGGGCTCGCCTACCTTAGTTGAGGGGGAGAGCCTAGAAATACAAGAAATGTATGTAGTAGGCGTATTATCCTTGACCGCCAGGTCTACAAGAGGAGCATAATACTGTCTACAAACAAATCTCACATGTTTCTGTCATTGTATTCACCATCGCGCTAAATGTTTGTTTTCATTTTGTTATACAAAAGGTCACCGTGTGAAATTTACATATTGACCTACTGAAACTTTGGGCTGCTCCATTCTGTCAAAAAGATAAAAGCGTATAAATATTAATAAACAATCGTACAAAGAATAAATACTCCATCAATGTAAAACTTAAAAAATGTTTTTTAAGAATATTCTATAATTTGTATAGTCAATATTTAAAAAATGGAAATAATTTTGTGTACATGCAAGTTATAATTAAAATGTCCCGTAAGAAAATGTAGTATTCCAATTTAAGTGGAGTTATTACAGATTATTACGTACTCTGAGTGTTCTGTAGTCCCGTGTGTAAGTGCGAACCGTCATTCGCGGACGTATGCTCCACCTTGAAGAAGTTTATGATTAGAATAACATTATGAAAACCAAGATAAACTTGCTACTTTTGATTTCCCATTTCCACACACTTGGCTCATGTAGAAATTAATGTTATTACATGTAGATTGCATACGCGTTAGAAGGAGCCACTTTACCTACTTAACAGCAAACAATTCTTCAAGTCAACCTTTAATCATTGGCAAGTGGAAGCAAAATACTTAATTCAGTAAAAATCATCATCAAATTCTATGGTAAACATACATCCGCATTCTATGGATGTATGGTAGGCATACAAAGAGGTTCTATTAACTGCTGGCAATTGGATTTGTCTGAGTCAATCAATGACAATTCAATACCATGCCAATTACAGAATGAATAATTTGACTCAAAATGTAGTTAATGATCATAAATCCATTAATGTTTGCCCACTAATGATTTTGCCACTTATGGTTATTGAAAGAGGAACCAAGTGCGATAGGCCAGTTCCCAAACTTTCGCGAAGTTTAGGCTGTGTTAGCCCTTTTCGTAGGTAGTGCTTGTGAAAATTAAGTGTTTTAGTTATCTGTGTATTAGAATTGTTTGGATGATTTAAGTTCGGGATAATCCAGGTTTTCTTATAATTGTATTGTTTTTCTTTGTTTTTGTTTACACAGATGCTCAGTTGTTTGCGCTATTGCGCTGCTGATTCTGGATGATAATTCAATTTTCAATTAAATTCACAGCAGATATATTAATCGACTATATTGAAGAAAATAACAATAATACAAAATACATAATAAAAAATAATAGCGAATATTTACTAGTGGTCAAGAATCAACCCGGGTCTGTCTCTAAAGACCCTCTGAACAAAATAGGCCTATATGAATTAAATAAAACCATAAAAGGACAACTAATGACTGTAACATACGGTACTCTAAAAATCATGCGCCCCACCCCACCACTCCTCCCCCACGCACCCCTAGGCCACTGCACTTATAGCTTTCAACTTGAGATTTTACTCTTCTACACAACGTGTGGGCAGTTTCAATATTCTGAGGGCGCTCTTACTATTCTGACGACTCTGAGAATAAGAGCTACCTTATACTTTGCGTTATAAATATTACTTTGCTAAAGATACCTTCTGTACACAATTAAGCCAAAAGAGACGGAGACATATCACACAGTAATGACAATAAACGTTGCGCATGTTTTCTTTATTTGGCGTTGCGAATGCTATTTTCCAAACAATGACTCATTACCGGTACTCTTACTTCACCCATGGAGGACCTTCACCCAATCCCTGTTTTTTATAACCAATGACCGCACAGTACACCTTAATAAAGAGTAACAGCAAACAGTTGCGCTAAGACAGTCATCGCTCTTTTATTTAATATCTCTGTAAGCCGTTAATAACCATGCACAGTGAGTGACTTGAGTCAAATTTCATCAATTTTTTCAGAATTCTGTGAGAAAGTTTTCTCTATTCAGCGCCCTCTCTGTCGAGAGAAATGAATACTACAGTATGTTTAGTAGACTATAGTAGAACACTGCCGCAGTGTTAAAGGTAGATATATTTCCACTCGATTCACGGAAAAGTTCTCCCTTAAAGAGGTGTTCCTTAAATAGTGGTGTCCCAAAGGAGGGGATCTACTGTACCCATACTGTACTTTTCTATTTTCTACTTTTCCCTACTGTACTGCATATTTAAATCAATAGGATATATGATGAATAGGAAATAAGTTTAGCAGAAAACTTTCAATTACCATTTAAAATTACTTTAATATTCCCATTACTTTTCCAATAACTCTCAATTATATTGGCTGCACCACAACCAGAACCGTTAATCGTTACCGTTACCGTTAAAATCGCCATTGCTTTTCCCCTTGTGCAAAACCACCGCTTTTTACCCGTTGCCATTTCATTAGCATTACTATTAAACCAATAATGTTAATGGTAATGATAAAGTTAGTGGTATTAGTAATTGTTAATGGTAATAGTAATGGTAATAGTATTAATATTACCATTAACAATTGTTATAAGCACTAACTTTATCATTACCATTAACATTGTTAATACGTGTCAAATTCATTTTCTACAAGAAATTCCACACTTCGACAAACGCAATGCGAGCTGCAAGAGTATTGTAGAAGGCGTTGTTACAATTTTCATGGACATGGACGAAACCTGTGTATCCTATATACATATATA